CTGCTCTATCAACAAGGATGCAGTCTTTCATAACAATGGTGAACTATTGGAAAGCTGGTGTGTGCTTAGGTCTTTTTGTGGATGCTTTTAAACTAGGTAGTTAAAAATCTCAATTCACAATAATCTATTTAACCTCTGTTGTTATATCATGAATGAATGCTGATAAATATCAAGCATTCAGAAAATGAGCAAAGCTTGTGATATTCTTTGTCTATGATTTTTTTTGAATTAAGGGTTCTTGTAGTGTTTGCTTTAAGTTTCTTTGTTCAAGCTAGGATGAAAGTCAATCTCCTAATCTCTTCCCCTTCCCATATTGCTTTTTAGTAGGATTGCCAGGGTATAGGTATGATTAATTGTCTGATTCAATTAACAAGATTTACAATCACACAGTCAATAAAAACTAAACTAATCTTGAAAGGAAGATGAGAATCAATAAACCTATTACCTTCTGTGAAATCTTTTCCTTCAAACTTTCCGGGGAAATAACATTTACTGCATAGATTTGAATCAGGAGACTTATGCAAAAAAGGCTGTACCATGAAAAGGAGTTTCGTAATTCATATAGAGCCCTCCATTGCTTTTAGACCTGAATTTTGTTAAATGTGGCTGTTGAAAAGGGTCACATTTCCCATTTGAAATTGAAGTTTGAAGAGAGAAAGCTATGTGTTTGGACAGCTTCATGAATCTATATTGTAGAAATCTTTGGCTGGTTCAACATTTGAAAATCCTGAAGATGTTTTTTGGGAAAAAATACTCCGACACTCAAGTCAGCAATACTCGATATTTTAAAGAGAGAAGCTCTCAAGAGTAATTGCAGACAAGTCAACAATACTCAATATTTTAGAGAGAGAAGCTCTCAAGAGTAATTGCAAAGAGAGAAATGTAATAGAATTATTATCTTGAGTGGAGGTAAGTGGGGCTATTTATAGCCCCCATGTGATGACATGAGTTCATATGTATAAGCATCTGATTGGTTCATAAGTTACCATTTATGTGGGTACGTCTGAACTAATGTATAAAAACATCTTCATTCTGGGTTTATGGGTAAATGACTGGGCCTGTTGCATATGGCCCAAGTTGGATGTTGGGCCATTTCCAACACTATGTATTCTAGTATTTTTCTTTTAGGGAGGTATTACAGGGGTAGGGTGAAATTTTTCAAATTATAATTGGGAGTTGAAATCCGAACCAATTATCTCTGAGTTTCTTGGACTTGGTTAGTGAACCATTGGCCGCTAGTCCAATGCAGAGAAGTACTATTGAACAATTGATAAAGAAAACTCACCATCCGCGGAATTAGAACCCACAATCTTTAAGGTTGTGTGCCCTCAATCCTTGGATGTCTAACATATTAAGCAAAAACCTCAAAATCAAGGCTGAGATATTTATAATGTTAATTCAGTAAGGTTTGGCTTCGAACTAAACCTTTCATCAAAAGGCTCCAAACTAGAACAAATATTTTAGAGTTACTAGCTTCACAATCTGGATTACAAAATCAGTGTCATTAAGGGGAAAGGACTCACTTTCATCTTATGTTTGGGAATTGGCACGGTATGTATCAGTACCAATACATTTCACAATAATTTACAGGATGGCAAAAAAAAAATTTGAAAAAAGACATAAATATTTGGGTACATTTATAACTACCAATGATAAGGTTATGA